TGCTATGGCCGCTGCCGTCTTGTTCTGTCCAAAGTTGAACTGCATGCCATGTATCGCGAAGGACTCGAAGACGATGTCGCCGACACGCTGGGTCCTCTCGATCCTTGCCGTCGTACCCTCCGATATTGTTGTGAAGACAGCGCCGTCTGCGTATGTGATGTCCTTCATCTCGTCCTGGTATTCCACGTCGGAGTATGCCCTGCTGCTCGAGTCTGGTAGGTATTCGCTGATGTCGATCGTCAGGTCGTCGCTGGCCATCCTTTCCGCAACCATCCGAAGAGGCTTCGTAAAGGCTAGGCTGAAAAGGAGGTCCGCCTGCGGCGCCCCAGGACGGGTACCTCTGCGGGAAATCGCTGCCTTTGGGGGCCTCCGCCGTCGCGTTATGTTCATCTGCAACCAGGTTCGCCGATGTGCTTCTGCTCCTTGAGCTCGCAGGTGCTTGTCGTCGCAGTCGACGTCGAGAAGGCCTGGTTGTGATACCACCTTCCGTGGCATCGGCCTCAGCGCCTTTGGGATGGCGGCTTCCCTGCACAGCTCCCGGATGTCGCCCTCGTGCTGCGGAGCTGAGACCACCAGCTGCCTGATGATGCGGTGAAAGGGCAGCTCGCAGGTCCACGAGCAGCATCGCCAGCGTCAGCCTGCTTCGCGTGGCCAGGGCCTGCAGCAGGCGAAGTTGGCGTGCGGCCATCGCTGTGGACCTGCCACGTCGTCCGCCCGTCTGGGAATCCACGTGGAGGGTCTCGACGCTCTGGGTCAGCTTGTCGCGCAGGAAGGTGTAGTACATTTTCGCGATATTGCTGCAGAGCGTGATGCTCCTGTATGCGACCTGGGTCGACGAGTCCTTCTTGCCTCTGGGGATCTCAGCAAATGCTGCGTGCCTCCAACCGAGCGGCTCTTGCAACCGCGGCCCAACCTTGACGAAGAGGGGGTGCAACTCCTGGGCGTGCGACGTCGTGTCCACGGCGAGCAGCTCGTTGGATATACCGTCGCTGCCGCCGCCTCCCGCGTGCTGATGGCGTCCTGGGTGAGCATGGTCATCACGAAGCTGAGTCTTAGCGTCGCTTGTCTCGCTGGTGTCCCATCCGGGTATAGCAGATCCTCGCACTGCGGGAGATGTCGTCGCAAATTTCCGAAGTCCCCGCCTCGCTCCTTCCACAGGCGCAGCCCCCGCTTGCCGTGCCTCCTCACTCAGTAGCCGCCTAGTCGGCAAGGAGATGTACTCTTCCTTGGGCACGAGGTTGGTGGTGGTGAACGCTGTGTTGGCCGCGTCGAGTATGCCTTGCACAACTCGCTGGCAGTGCGCGTTCACGTCCTCTTCCCAGGATGTCGTGGTGATAGTTAGCTTCTACTGGTTTTCTTCCTGTGCTTCCTGCCCAGCTATCCTTCTTCTGTCGATCTTTCTTTGCCTCCTTCTCGCCTTGTTCGTGTTGACGTACCTCATCGCCGCAATGACTGGACAGTGGTCTTGCACCTTCAGGCCGTTGTCGAAGCCTCGCTTGTGCAGCATTCCTGCACGCAGTCCGCGAAGCGCTCCCGCATGGCGATGTAGTCGAGCCTCCTGTCACGGCAGCCATCTGCTGCGTAAGTCGGACCTGCCGCGAAGTTGGTATTGATGACCTGCATGTTTGCGCTCTTCACAGTGTTGACCCACTTCTTCCCGTTGGCGAATGTCTTGCTGGCTGGGTCCTTGTCGCCGATGTGTGGCGGGCTGCAGGAGTCCTTTCCGATCTGCGCGTTCGCGTCGGCCAGGGTGATGTCGACTTCCCATCGCTGCAGTATCTCTCCGGCATGTTCCCACCACTGGTCCCGGTCTCTGACATTGGCGTGGTGGTGGGGCGCGTGGCACACCATAATGGTCATCAGGAAGTGCGGTGCCTCGAGCTAGACCATCAGAACGGTCGGCTCATTGTGCAGTACCATGACGTGCTGGTCGTTGAAATCGAGGTCCGTTTGCCCAAGGATCCCGTACGGAATCGTGGTGGAGATCATAATCCCGCAGCCATGTCCGCCGTCGTCTCCTGAGGTCCTGAACTGGATGACGCCGTCGACGAAGTCCTGCCTTTCGACTCCGCGCGTCTCCTGTGCATGCCCACTATGTTCACCTGCCAGTCCGTGAAATGCCCTCTAATGATCTTTAGCCTGTCTCTCTTGAAGGTTGCCTCTTCATCCTTTGGCCCTTCATTTCCCTTAGGCTTCCTGTACCTGCTTTCCACCATGGTCATCGCGATGTACGTCGCAACTCTGCAGTACATGTGCGCTTATTCCTTCTTCGCAGTGATATCGGGCGTTTCCTCATACATGTGGAGCTTGCCGTCGCTGCTGGGCCTCATGCGCTGCATCATCATGTCGTAGTAGAATCCCTGCTCACCGAGTGCTGGGTATCGCGTCTTGGTCTCCGCGTCGTAGAGCAGGACCGTCCAGTCTCTCTCGGTCCTGTACTCTATGATGTGATGCATGCTGCGGTCGCATGTGTCGAACTCTGCCGTCCTGGCGAGGTGGTCGGCTAGCTGGTTCCATGGGTCGAAGTCATGTGCTTTCGTGTACCTCCCCGTGGTGCTGTGCTCGTGGTGCGCTTGGTGGGCCGCGATGGCGACGCACCTAGCCAGCTCTTGGAACGGCGAGTGCAGTGCCTCTCCTCGCGCGTCCCGAATGGTATGCATGGAGTCGTTGACGATCGAGAAGGTCCTGGTCTGCTGATGCCCTGTTGTCATTATGTATCCGTATGCCCAGAACATCGCGACTAGCTCTGACGCCGTGCTGTCTAGCCTTCGCTCGGCTGTGGTCCTCGATGCCGATCTCGTCATGCCCCGCGCCTGGCCTAACGCGTGGTACCGACCCTGGCGAGCAACCACGGCCACAGCAGCCCAACCATCACGTTCGTGGTCGGACTCGTAGTGCGAGCAATCGGTGAAACTGTGGATCTCATCTGGAGGCTCCTCCCTGTCTCCCGAATCTCTCGGTGCCAGCTCCACAGCCAGTCGTGCAAGTCCCGTTGCGTTGATGTTGTCGAAGTCGGTCTTGGGGTCGAACACCGCTGGGTCCTTCTTGCATAGGTAGTTGAAGGTCTCGTCGATCCTGCAGCTGCATGTCCTGGGTATCCGCTGCCGTTCCAAGCCTTCTCCTCTGTCCCCTGCATGGTGCATGTAGGCGGCCTCCTCGGTATCTTCGAAGCGTACTCTTCTGCCGCTGCGCTGGTCGTTCCGGGCGTGCTGGTCATGTTACTTGCTGGTGGTGATGGGCGTGCTGGTTGTGTGTGCTGGTCGGGTGTGCTGGTTGGGTTGGTTGGGTGTGCTGTTCGTGTCTGGCTGGTTGTGCTGGTTGGGTGTGCTGGTCGTCGCACCTGGTAAGGTCTCCATGCACCGACTTCGGGTGGGAGTATTTATTTGCGGTCCCTCCTCGTCCCGCATGGCTAGGGGTCACTCTGCCCTCGGCGGGGGCGAACCCCAGGCCTGGTGCGTGGGGCTGGTCGTAGTGGTTGTGGTCGCAGTGGGTGTGCTGGTCGCATCGGGGCTGCTGGTCGTGCTGGTAGGTATCGTGGTGCTGGGCGTAGTGAGTGTGCTCGTCGTGGATGTCGTGTTGGCCGGGTTAGTCGTGCTGGTCGTGGTGCCACGTCGTGCTGGTCATGCTCGCTCTTGCAGGTGGTTCGTCTTCGTCTAACGCCCGCCTGCTCGCAGCCTCCTCATGGGTGGCCTCCTCATGGGTGAGGGGTGAGCCCAGGCCTGCCTCCGCTGGCAGGGAGGGCTCTACCGTGTCCTCGAAGCCGTCGGCAGCGCCGCGCATTGCCCTGCGGCGCTCCCGCCTCCGTGGGGGCGGGGGCCTCCCCTGTGCTGGACGGTGGCGCGGTCCGTGTGGTCGCAGGTGGTCCGTGGGGGCCCTCCTCGACCTCGACAAAAAGGGGTGCAGTGATCGACCCGCTGCCTCTCCTCCTCCTCCTCCTCCTCCTCCTCCTCCTCCTTCTCCTCCTCCTCCTCCTCCTCCTCCTCCTCCTGCTCCTCCTGGTAGTGCAACCCTCACGCTCTTACCAAGCGGTTCCTCCTCCACCTCGTCGGCAGCGGGGGCCCTGGCAAGGCCCGCCCTGCGGGCTGCTTGTCGTCGGGTCGACCTCGATGACCTCGCAGTGGTGCTCCGAGGTCGCTGCCGAGGTCTATGAAGTTCGCATAGGGGGTTAAAACTGGCTGTCAAGACCCGTACGGCTGTGGGTCGAGCATGCCGTGCGTCCCGCTGGCTCCTACACAGCTCGGTGGCCGAGGTGCCCTCTTCTAGGCCGGATTGGACTACCCTGCGTGCTTCGCTCAGTTGTCTTGAGCGGGGCTCCCTGACGTCGCTGTCGGGCCTGCGCTCCTCTATTCCGAGGCGGGCATTTATACATGACCACCGCCTGGAGGGTCAGTTTTCGGAGCCTCGGTGGGCGGAGGATATGTGTATATTCGGGCCCCTGGGGGCCGAAATATATCCATATCCACGGCCCGCTGGGGCACCAGGACGTCGGTTCCCAGGCGGTGGATATGGATCAATCCCCGCCTCGCATCTATCTCCGCCTCGATGCACGTCTGGCTTGTAGCGGTAGAGCGAACTACACCTCCAAAGTGGGGTTGAATTCTGTTCGGCCTCTCTTGTGCTGAAGCAGTCTTCGGCGCAGACGCTCATGCAAGCCCTGCGCTGGATCGGCGGGCTGCCGATGTTGTTGGTTCGCTGCTGGGTGTGATTCGGCTACACGTAAAAGTGACCCTTGGCCACAGTGACCTTTGGTGCGGGCCCAATGCGGCCCCCCAGTCGCCGAAATTCGCCGAGTGCGAGACGTTGGCGGCGACTTGCGCGCTTGTGTTTGGCCCCGCGGCGGCCCCCGCTAAGCCGAGCACCAAAGGTCACTCTTGCCCAGGGTCACTCTTGCGTGTAGCCGAGTGATATTCAAGCGGAGGCCCCAGACCGCCAACCTCCGCTGCTCTGTCCTGCTGTGGTGGTGTCTGCTGGGAGCGGCGCAGGTGACTCCCCTCCCCCTGGGCCGCCCCTAGGGGCGCGCCTCATTGGAAAAAAATTCCGCGGCCCCGTCGCTGCTGACTTCGCCGTGTCTCATGTGGTTAGCCTTTCTGTCCCCGACGTCCTCGAAGCCGTCTCCCGCGTCGATGGTGCGGACCTTCCTGGCTCCTGTGGGGGGTCCGCGTAGACGACGCCGACCATGATGAGGGCCGGCTGCTGTCTGCTCCTGAGGCGCCCGCTTTCTTCCTCAAGACGCCGAAGGCTCCCCCTCCTGGTGGTCCCGCTGAGGCCGCCCTGTCGTGACGCCGTGGGATCGTGGCCTCTGGGTCGAAGCGCTCCGTCTCCGAGATGTCCCCCTGCAGGCTGCGCGGCTCGTCCGCAACCTGCGTAGGCGAGCATGCCTCTGGGAACTCCGCCTCCTCAGGCGTCCTCCTGGGGTCTCATCTCCTTGCTCGCCTTTCTTTATCATTGCCGCTATGGCTTCTCTTTCGGCCTGCTCCCTCTCGACCATCTCCTGCACTCTTTCGATCTCCGCTGCGATCGCGTTGTCTTCCTCCTCCTCCTCCTCCGTCTGTTGGAGTTCGTACTGCTCCTCTGATTTCTTTCTATTGGCCTCCTGCTGCTCGATCCTCTTCCAATCCTGGCGCTGCAGCTTCTTCTCGATCGCGGCATCTTGGAAGTCGTCGGAGTCTGGGGTGCTCCACGAGGTCGGCACCGCCGCTGCCCACGTGACCGTCTCCTCCTGCCTTATGGCCAGATCGCGCTCTACTTCCTGACGTTCGACGTCCTTCATCTGCTGCTCGTCTACCTCTGCCGCTATCGTCTGGTCGATCTCATCCGCCTCTTCGTTCACGCGCTGGTTCCATTGCTGCGCTGGGCAGAAGAAAGGGGACTGCGGCCACGCCCTTGACAACTCTCTCTCTCTCTCTCTCTCTGTATATATATATATATATATATATATATATATGTGGGGCACTGTCTGCGCTCCTCGTCCTCCTCCTTCTGCTGCCCAGCTTTGCCACTTTGCGTCGTCGGCAGTCGAGAGGGTGCTTGGCGCACCCTCGCCCCTGCTCGTTTCCGCGACCTGCTGGGTGCGGTGTCGGCGCGCCGCCCTCCTCACATCCTCGTTCGCTGCCGCCGCAGCCTCGATGTTGCTGTGCATGTTTCGGTCCAGGGCTACGATGAGGCCCACATCTTCCGCTGCCAGTCGCTCAGCACGTTCGAGCTGGCTCCTGTGGCGGGTGCGCTCCTCCTCCCTTTGCCTGTCCTTCTGCGCTACGACTTCCCATACCGCCGTGTCCTTCTGTGCCTGGACCTGCATCCTCCTTGTCTCCTTCAAGTTCTTCTGTGCAGCCAGCGCCTGCTCGAACTGCCGCCGGGCCGTCACAATCTGAGACCCCCCTGGGCCACTATGCTTTGCACGATCATGTTGTGGCGTTGAGTCACGACTTCTCGTTGCTCCACGTTGGCCTGCTCGCACCTCATTGCGACGGCCCTAGCTCGGGCTACCTCATGCATCAGCCAATTGAGTAAAAACCACCCAGACCAGACAGTTGGCGTTTACTAAACGGCCCTGGGCGTTTACTAAACAGCCCTGCCCTGTTTGATTTCTTCGTTGGATGTGTTTACCAAACGGCTTCGCGCGTCGGGGTTGTTATTATCGGGGTGGATTTTCTGCCCTCTAATCAGCGTCTCTTGCCTCATCCTGTGCTGTCTTCTTCTGCTTCCCTATGGGCTTCCCCTCGCGCTTGCTTCTGCACTCGTGCGCAGTTGGCCGCTCTGTTCTGCTCACGCGTGCGCGTGCTGCTGCCTGATCGTGGCATGAGCTGTCATCTCCTCTCTGTCTCTGGCACTGAGGAGGAGAAGGAGGGGGAGGAGGAGGAGGAGGAGGAGGAGGAGGAGGAGGAGGAGGAGGGGGAGGAGGAGGAGGAGGAGGAGGGGGGGGAGGGGGAGGGGGATGAGGAGGGGGAGGGGGAGGAGGAGGAGGAGGAGGGGAAGGGGGAGGAGGAGGAGGAGGAGGAGGTGCTTCCTCTTCTTGTCATGCGCCTCCTGGAGCTCGAGCCTCATCCCGGCCTCCCGTTGCTCTGCTGCTGCTGCTGCTGCTGCTGCTGCTGCTGCTGCTGATGTGTCGGGCTTCGCCTGCCAGCGCCTCCTGCTCATCTCCACCTCTGCTCTGTACTCCATCGTGGAACAAGAGGCTTGTTCCTTGGACGCCGTGGTTCCGAACATGTCCCACCAGACGCCCGGGACGTCCGCGCAGGCGATGGGCTGACCTTTGAGTAGTTGTTCCAGCTTGCCATGCTGCGTAATCTTCTCGCTCCGTCTGCCCAGGCGCTGTTTCTCACGCGCCATGAGGGGCCCAGCCCGCCGCGGCCGGTCTGCAGACCGCTCTGTCTCTCTCTGTCTCTCATTCTTCTCAAGGCCCCATCCGGTGCTGCCCTTCTCCTCCTCCTGCTGGCTCTTGCCTTTGCTGCTCCTCGCGAGCTTCGCACTGATCCTCTGTTCCATGTCCCGCTGGGCCTTCGCCTGGAGCTCTATTGCCTGGGTGGCCTTTGAGAGGCGCTCAACGATGTCGTCCATCTTCTTGCTCTGTCTTTTCGGCGTATTTCCCTCATCCTCTCGGCTCCTCCTGGACGGCGAAGGGCGCCGACGGCATTCCTCCTTCACCTTAGTCCTGCTCGCGCAATCGTAGTAGTCCTCATCCACGTCGCCGCCGGTGTCGCCCTCCTCTGAGCCCGTGAGCTCGCTGACGACGTTCCTCATATGGGCCTCCCTGTCCTGCCACTTGTCGAGCTCCGTCCTCCATTCGTCTCACTCCCTCTGGGCGTGGTAGATCTGCCGTTCTATGAACTCCATCTCCCTCGTCGTTTCCTTTCTTCGCCTGTGTGTTGGGGAGCATGTTCACGCGGACGAACTTCAGGGCCGAGATCTCCTTGATGATGTCCGTTCCCTCCTCGCGCGCGGCTTCCGCCGCCATCAAGAATAGCCCAAGGTTGTCCAGCCTCTTCTCGATCTGCTGCTTCTGCAACGCCATGTGCTTGCCCTCTATCGGTTCCTGGAAGGCCTCGTGAGTCCTTGCAGCCGAGGGCGTTGCCATGGGGCCTGGTCGAGGATCCTCTTGAGCTCGCTGGAGTGGGCCGCGCTAGCGCTGGCAGCTCTGCCTGCTGCGCGTCCTCCTCTTCTGCTGTCCTTCTTACTTTCTCTCTGCTCCTCGTCGCGGTCTGTCCTCCTCGCACTGGGAGGTCGCGGCCCTGTCCTCCTGCTGGGCGTCCTGCTTCATGGTGCATCATGCTTCCATTGCTGCTCTCGGCGGCCGTCGCTGGCATGGGGCTCCTGCTGCTCTTTCCAGCTGCCCTTGTGCCATGGCTGCCATCCTCTGTTCGCCATCCCGTCTTGCTGGTCGGACTGGTGCTGCTGGTGGCGCTGTGGCTGCTGCGCCGAGTGGTCCTGGGTCAGCACCTGTGCAGCCGTGCGCGGCCTGAGCAGCACTCTCGCCTCCGCGCGCTGCTGCCTCGCGCGGCGCTGCCATGCGGGCTCGCCGCTGGCTCGCGGCGTGGCGCCTCGGCGCGCCGCCTGCAGCGGCGCCCCCCTCCTCGCAGGTGGGGGGAGGGCAGGGGGTGCGGGGGAGCACCCAGCCTGCCCCCCACGCAGCGGCGCGGGGTGGGGACCCCGCAGCAGCCCGGGGGCGGGATGCGGTCGCAGCGGTGGCGGCGGGGCGATCGCCCGCCGCGGCGCGCGGCCACGGGGGGCAAGGGGCGGGCCGACGTCGACGGCGGCCCGACGACGGCGGCTGGCCCCCTCAACCTCAGCCCGTGGTTCTCCTCCTCCTCCTCCTCCTCCTCCTCCTCCTCCTCCTCCTCCTCCTTCGTCCTTCTCTCCCTGCCTGGGCCCGAGGCTCTAAGTGTTCTCCCTGGCCTCGCTGGCGCACCCGTTCGGGCCTGCCGAGGCGCTGCTCGGGATTGCGCACCGCCGACCGTCGCGCCTCGCCGAGAGACGTCTGGGGGTGCCCGGATCGTCCCGAACGCCGCCGGAGACCCGAATTAGGACCCGACGCCCACCTCGGCGCGTTGCGGCTCGATCACCTTGGAGCCGCGACTCTCGCGGTCGTCGCTACCGCTACCGCTGCAATCGCTGCCACGTTTGCCCTTCTCACGACCACCCGCGCGGCCACCACCGTCACCGCAGCGACCACCGTGACGACCGTTCCCGCGACCTCGACCACTTGCCTGCGCAGCACTCTGCGGGGCACGGCTACGACGCCCGCCACCATCACGGCCTGCACCAGGCACCGCCCGCCCTCCGCCCCCGCCGGTTTCGAAGATGGGATCGACGCCGTGGGCCTTGGGGCGGACCTGCAGCTGCAGAGCCCGCACGTCTCGGGGCATGCGCGCGGGGATGCCTTCTCCACCTCCTCCTGCTCCTCCTGCCTCCTCCTCCTCCTCCTCGTCCTCCTCCTCCTCCTCCTCGTCCTCCTCCTCCTCCTCCTCCTCCTCCTTCTCCTCCTCCTCCCCCTCCTCCCCCTCCTCCTTCTACTTCTTCTACTCCTCCTGCTCCTCCTCCTCCTCCTCCTTCCTGGCCCACATGCGTCCCTGGAGGAGGCCGAAGAGCGTCGTCACAAGCTCACAGAAGCGACCCATGCGGACAGCAATCCTCCAGCGCGCCCCGCCACGCTCGCGCCCCCTGTCAGGGCCGTCTACGATCCGATTCGATGCAATTCGACCCGCTGGCTGGGGCCGCGATTCCGATGCGATTCCGATCCCCAGCGGTTCGATTCACCAGCATCGGCCAGAGGCCAGCTGGAGCCAGGCGGGGCGGTCCGTTTTCGATTCGACTCGGGATGCTTCGCCAGCGTTCCGATCCGCCTTTGCTCCAATCCAGCTTCACGATTCGACAGCTCAGGCCTGCCGGTGGCTTCCGCGGTGTTTGCTCGATGCTCTGCTTTTACTGCTTGCCCCAGGCCCATTGCGCGCCGGTTGGCTGCGGCAAGCTGGAGGCGATGCAGTTCGGGCGCGTCATACACAAGGAGCCCCGAGCCTCCCGAGTCGGGCCGCCCTGGTCGCCCTGGAGAGCGGATCGTCGTCGTCGTCGGCGTCGTCGTCGTCGTCGTGCTGATGGTCGTTGTCGCGTTGTCGTCGTCGTCGTCTTCGTCGTCGTCGTCGTCGTCGTCGTCGTCGTCGTCGTCGTCGTCGTCGTCGTCCTCCCACATACCGATAGGGCCGCGGACCGATACTGCCTGAAGCACTTGGGAAGGAGCAGCGGACTCTTGCTGGACGCCGACGGCATTGGCTCCCTCGCTCGCTCCCTCTGCCGCTCCCATGCTAGCCTCGAAGGGTCTTTGGTTATGGGTCCCCTCCCTGTTTCTTTCGGCGGGGAACAAGCTCGATCCTCCTCTTCTTGCTCCATTCCTGTCCCTTCTAGATGACTCCTCCCTGTCGCACCCCGCGGCTCCGAGGCCGGTCGAAACGGCGGGCCGGTCGTGTCGCTTGAGACTTCCTCACCACGTATGACCCTGATGGCGAAAGGTTGACAACATATTCACGGATGGAGGGCGTGCCGCTTCCAACATGTGGCTCTCGCTTTAGCGCCGCACGCATTCGTTTCAATCATTTGCAAGAGTTTCGCGGATTGAAGGCGGGTGGTTTTCAACATGTGGTTCTCGCTTTAGCGCCGCGCGCATTCGTTTCAAGAGCTTGCAAGAGCTTCACGGATTGAGGGTGGTCGGTTTTCAACATGTGGCTCTCGCTCTAGCGCCGCGCACATTCGTTTCACAACATTGCAAGAGCTTCACGGATTGAGGGCGGTTGGTTTTCAAAATGTGGCTCTCGCCCCAGCGCCGCGCACATTCGTTTCAACAGCTTGCAAGGGTCTTAAGGATTGAGGGCGGGTGGTTTTCAGCATGTGGCTCTTGCTTTAGCGCCGCGCAAATTCGCTTCAAGAGCTTGCAAGAGCTTCACGGATTGAGGGCGGGTGGTTTACAATATCACTACGGTTTCTTCGGTGCTCACTGCAGTACTGACTGGGGGGCGCCCCCCCCCCGCCGCCGCCATCTTGAACTGATTTTGGCCGGCGAGCCCGCCGCCATTTTGTTGTTGCCTAGTTGCGATTACGGTTGCGCCCGCGGGCGGGTTGAAATGTTTCGTCTGGTTGGGAATTGAAACAAATCGCACTTCCGCGTCACGCGGTGCGCCTTTTTAATAGAATTGCAAATATTTATCGGGAGAGTCCCACGCCCGCCTAAGATATTCAGTGTTGTTATGTTCGTTGTAGTTTTTTCAACGGATTGCAAAACGCAGCCCGCCTGAATAATTCCGCGCTGGGATTCGCCGCCAATTTTTTACAGGGAGTTCCAACTTATTTGAATTCGTTGGTTCGCCTTGCCGCCGTTTCTTTCGATACGTCAGTTACTGTTTCAGGATTTGTTCTCCGCCGGCCGTTTTTTTTCTGATATGGAGAATGTTGTATTGCTTCCAGTGTGATTTTACAATCTGTGGTTCTCGCGTTAGCGCCGCGCACATTCGTGTCACAAGATTGCAAGATTTTCACGGATTGAGGGCGGTTGTTTTTCAACATGTGGCTCTCGCTTTGGTGCCGCGCACATTCGTTTCAACAGCGTGCAAGGGTTTCACGGATTGAGGGCGGTTGTTATCAACATGTGGTTCTCGCTTTAGCGCTGCGCACACTCGTCTCAAAACATTGCAAAAGTTTCACAGATTGAGGGCGGGTGGTTTAAATTGTAGCCGGAGTGCAGTTCCCCAAACAGGGTTTTTAAACCCACTGCGGTTTCCAAGGTAGATTGCGCGCCCGTCCAGTGCGGGCTAGCATGGCACGTTAGAACATGCCTCCTCCCCCTCGTCCTCGTCCTCCCCTACCTCCTCTTCATCCCGAACGGCATCTCGGAGCCCAGAGTTGCGAGGATGTCTCCAGCGTAACGGGCTGGATCATCTCGCGCGCGGCATCTCGGACCCCAGAGTTGCGACGATGTCTCGGGCGAAACGTGCTGCAAGGAAGTCTCAGGCGAAACGGGCCGGACCACCGCGAGCGCGGCGTCTCAGAGCTCCGAGTTGCGGGGGCCTCCTGTGGCCTCCTGGACCCCACCTGGGGCTTCTGAAGCCTCTTGGGGCTCCCAGGGGAGGATATCTAACATGTGGCCGTCGGGGCCCTCCAAGATGGGGGGGGGGCACAAGAGCAGGAAAAATCAACGAATCGGCACCGGATGTGTATTAGCTTGACACGTGCTGATAGGGGGCCTCCTGGGAGCCTCCTGGGAGCCTCCTGGGAATCTCCTGGGGACCCCTGGGGCCTGTCCTGGGCGTCTTGCGGCCTCCTGAAGCTCTCTGGGGCCTCCTGGGGCTCCCAGGGGGGACGTGTAACATGTGGTCTTCTGGGCCCCCAGGCGGGACCACCTCTTGCGCGGCATCTGGGAGCTCAGTCAGAGTTGCGAGAATGTCTTATGCGAAACGGGCCGGACCACCTTGCGCACGGCATCTCAGAGCTCAGAGTTGCGAGGATGTCTCAGGCGAAACGGGCCGGGCCACCTCGCGCAGGGCATCTCGGAGCCCAGAGTTGCGAGGATGTCTCCAGCCCAACGGGCTGGACCACCTCGCGCGCGGCATCTCGGACACAAGAGTTGCGACGATGTCTCTTGCGAAACGTGCTGCGAGGAAGTCTCAGGCGAAACGGGCCGGACCACCTCGAGCGCGGCGTCTCAGAGCTCCGAGTTGCGGGGGCCTCCTGGGGCCATCTTGGGCCTCCTGGGGACCTCCTGCTCTCTCCTGTGGCCTCCTGGACCCCACCTGGGGCTTCCTGAAGCCTCTTGGGGCCCCCAGGGGGGGATATCTAACATGTGGCCGTCGGGGCCCTCCAAGATGGGGGGGGGGCACAAGAGCAGGAAAAATCAACGATTCGACACCGGATTTGTATTAATTTGACACGTTCTGACAGGGGGCCTCCTGGGGCCTCCAGGAGCCTCCTGGGAGCTCCTGGGGATGTCCTGGGGACCCCTGGGGCCTGTCCTGGGCGTCCTGTGGCCTCCTGAAGCTCTCTGGGGCCTCCTGGGGCTCCCAGGGTCCCAGGGGGGATATGTAAGATATGGTGGATCAAAATTTCGAGGATGTCTCAAGCGAAACGGCCCGGACCACCTCTCGCGCGGCGTCCCAGAGTGTACGTTTTCGAGGATGTCTCAGGCGAAACGGCCAATCCCGGCCAACTCAGAAACGAGAGTTGTGAGGATGTCTCAAGCGAAACGGCCCGGACCATCAGATTTTTGTGAGGATGTCTCTGCTCCCCTTTCCCTCGGCCGGAGTTCGCTTCTATCACAACAGCACCTCGTTCAGCAAAGCTGTTTGGGGAAAAATGTATCTCTCGCCTTCGCGCCGCGCACATTCGTTCAAAACGTTGCAAGGGTTAAGGATTGAGGGCGGGTGGTTTTCAAAATGTGGCTCTCGCCTTCGCGCCGGGCGCGTTCTCTTTAAACATTTGCAAGAATTTCACGGATTGAGGGCGGGTGGTTTTTAACATGTGGTTCGCGCTTTAGCGCCGCGCACATTCATGCTCAACATTCGCAAGAGCTTCACGGATTGAGGGCAGTTGGTTCTCAACATTTGGCTCTCGCCTCAGCACCGCGCACATTCGTTCTGGACATTTGCAAGAGCTCCACTGCTTCTCATGGTGTGTTTAGGGACGATTCAGGATTGCCAGGGCGCACCAGTTACGCTGATTCGCGGTGTTGACGTCCCAGGAGTGGCGTTCTGGCACGGTTCCGGATCGCCAAGCCGTACAAATGTCAGGTTCGTTTGGGGCGTTGAATTCCTGAGAATGATGTTGTGGAACGCGTCATAATGTTCACATTAGCGGGGCAATGCCCTTAGTGGACATGACCCCTCGTAAGGGCCTGTGAAGAGGGATCTTGGAGGGAGGGTATACTTCAGTATCGCTGAGGAGTCTTGGATTTGAGCTGGTCCTCCTCCTCCTCCTCTTCCCCCACCTGCCCCCCTCCTCCTGCTGCTCCTCTTCCTCCTGCTCCGCCTTCTCACCCTTCTCCTCCTCTGCCTCCTCCTCGTCCTCCTCCTGCTCCTCCTCGCAGTCGTAATCGTAGTCGTCGTCGTCGTCGCAGTCGCGGCGAAGATTACATTGTTGGGCGGGCTGGACAATATTTAGGGGTTCTTTATCACAGGTAATAATACACAGTGGGCTACCCTACACGCGAGAGGATTTGTGAGCACCTTCTCATGGGGATTGCAGTCGGATTCAGTGGACGTGGTTGTAGTCGTGGTTGTAAGCGCGATTGCAATCGTGATTGTTATCGTGATTGTAGTCGTAATCGTAGTCGCGGTTGTAGTCGCAATCGTAGTCGTAATCGTACTCGTCGTCGTCGTCGCGGCGGAGATTATTTTCTCTCTATTGTTGGGCGGGCTGGGTAATGTTTGGGGTTTCTTTCTCCCACGGAATAATCCAGTGTGGGCTCCCCCGCACGCGAGAGGATTAGTGAGCATCTTCTCACGAGTATTGCAATCGGAAACAGTGGTTGTGGTTGTAGCCGTGTTTGTAGTCGGAATCGCAGTCGCGGTGATCGTCGTAATCGTAGTCGTGGCTGTAGTCGCAATCGTAGTCGTAATGGTCGTCGTATCGTGGTCGTAGTCGTAATCGTAGTCGTAGTCATCGTCGTCGTCCTTGTTGCGCGGCGGGTGCCGAAGAGAAAACGATTCTTTTCTGCTATTGGTGTGGCCCCGGTCCGTCAATCAGGGCACCGAAGTGAGAATTCGTTGCCATTGCTCGGGGGAGGGTCTCGAAAGACCCTTGCCGGTTACAGCCCCGTGCTTCCAGCGGCGCCAGGAAGTGCCACACGAGCTTTTAGGGCGCCTCGGCGTCCCGTGGTCGGTGTTGCGGGCCCCCAGGGCCTGCGATAAAAACAACCCGCAGCGAACCGCCAGGCCTGGGAAGAATGGGCTCGGCACGCGCCGCGAACACGTTGCGACGTCGGCGGGCTGGGGCCGGGTCCAGAGGCTCGGGAGCCTTGAAAACGGA